CTCCAGCATGGGTCCTCCATGGGTCACAGGTCCTTCCAGACTACAGCTCCAGCATGGGCTCCTCTCTCCATGGGGTCACAGGTCCTGCCAGAAGGCTGATCCAGTGTGGGCTTCCCAACGGTTTACAGCCTCATTTGGATATCCACGTGCTCCACCGTGGACCTCCAGGGACTGCACAGGCACAGCTGCCTCACGATGAGCTGCACCATCAGCTGCAGAGGAATCTCTGCTCTGGCACCCAGAGCACGTCCTTCCTCTCCTTTTTCACTGACCCTAGTGTCTGCAGAGGTGTTTCTTTTATATGTTATCACTCTTTCCTCTAGTCAGTGTTGCCCAGCAGTTTTTTTCGATTCTTAAATTTGTTATCCCTGAGGCCTTGGCCAGTGAGTTCATCTTGGAGCTGTCTGGAATTGGCTTTGTCGGACGTGGGGGGAAGCTTCTGGTGATTTCTCACAGAAGCCACCCCTGTAGTCACACCGTTGTCAAAGTCATGCCATGCAAACCCAATGCAATCACACACAAAATCATTCAAATTACTATTTTCTTAGCATTAGAATATATTGGTACTTTGCTGGATTAGGTGCATGGATCTAAATCTTTCTCCAAAGTAAAGATTAGGTAATCAGAAATAGAAATTATATGATTTTGTAATATTTGTTATATTACATCTATTTAAGTCTTTACACAATTGGAAATATGTAGAAAATAATAAATTATTCTAAGCATGTAGACAAATGTAAAGCCTATCATAGCAGTTTGCAAGTTGAAGCTCTAATCTCTGTGAATTTCAGTCTGTCAGTATCATACAATTGAATACTCATGTTAGAAATATATGTATATGTATGTATAGAGCACATACACACAGCCAGTAGAAGAATTGCTGAATGCTCAATCTCAAGACAAATATATAATCTATAAGTTTGAACTGATAAAAGCTCTTCAGGAGTGCAGAAAAAAAAGTCAATAATTTTCTAATTACATGGTAACTTTTAACATAAATGCATGGTAAATACCGTAAATTTCTATATGACCAAATTATAATTATGTTTTTATTTGAAAGAGTCATCAAGGAACTGAAGCAGGTAATTAAATTGACTCATGTACTTTCATCAAATTTGTAAAAGTACGTAATAAAGTCAGTCAGAAACATGAGTTTGGGGTATACGCTGTTCCCTGGAAATTGCTGGAATTATATTGGTTATAAATATATATGTGAGACTATTTATGTATGTAGGATCCAAAGAACTTTGTATAGGCAAGTCCATTCATTTGAGCAATGTTAGCCCAGACGACAGTTGTTGAAGATCTCTGCCTAGTTTCACATTGAGGGCTAACCTATCCCACCAACAACCAGTCATAATACAGGCTGAGTCTGGCACCTATTCACCACGTTGTTCCTCTAGCTCTGAAGAAAACAAGGAACACTGTGATCAGGGCAGACAAACAGGATGTGGCATCGTGGTGTGTGTGGAAAGGTGCCTCTCTGAAGGAGGAGCATTCCACGGTCTGAGTAGAGAGATTTGGAGTCCACATAACCCAGCATCTAGTTACAGCACCCTTCTGTAATCATCTGTACATTGTCAAGGGCACTACCTGATCCTTAAGGCTGTGCTCCAATTGGGAGGGCTCCATGATCTATGTGGTGGTGGCTGATACTTCCCCCCAGATGGAGCTGCTGAAGGGAGAGGCTGCATTGCAGACCTCACACTGTGGGAAGTGCCCTGACCCTTTTGCTGTGGCAGGGACAGGCTGCAGACCTGCCTGCGAAAGCTGTGCCCAGGTGGGGGACTGCTGTTCTTTCACCAGTGATACAACCGGGAGCAGTCTGATGGATCAAGAAGGATTACAGAGCCCTAGGTGCAGTTGTAAGGGGGTCTGGAGTGCAGGCAGCTTTTTCATTGGTCCTCACAGTCAGAGGGTAGGAATTTGAAAATGCCACTGATATCTAGTAAATTGAAATTCATCAGATTATGGTTAGAGGACTGGTGCCATAGCCAGGGGTTTAGCTACTTAGATTATGGAACTTGTTTTGAGAAACCTGGTCTATGGAGGGCTTATGGGGAACATCTGTTAGAGAAGGGAAAAAGCACCTTTTGTTATAGACTTGCCAAGGTGGTGAAGAGGGCTTTAAACTAAAAAAGGTTTGCTGAGGGAGGGGAACCTCAATCCATCCCACTCCTACCAGTTTGATGCCAGCACCACCTCTCCGCCCAGAACCTGGAGAGGGATTACAGGTCAGCAGGAGGGTACCTGAGGAGCAGCACAAAGTAATCCCTCTCATTTTAGTCAGCCAATAGTCTTCATCAAGAGCTAAACTTCGATGCCTATATGCAAGTGCACATAGGGTGGGGAATAAACAAGAGGAGTTAGAGGTGCACACTAGGATCTTATTGGCATCACAGAGATGCAGTAGGATGGCTCCTAAGACCAGACTGTTGGAATGAAATCATACAGTATCTGTAGGAAAGACAGACAGGGGAGACAAGGAGGGGCTGCTGTCCTGTGTGTCAATGACCAGCTGGAGTTCATAGAGCTTTCTCTGCCTGGGGATGGATGAGAAGCTGACCAAAAGACATCAACCTGCAGTCCTCATTCTGGAGGGAAGGGATGCCATGGGAGGGGACTTGACAGACTTGAGAGTTTGCTCCAAGAGAATCTCATCAGGTTGAACAAGGCCAGGTGCAAGGTCCTACATCCAAGTCGGGGCAATCTCAAACACAAATACAGTCTGGGTGGAGAATGGATCAAGACTAACTCTGGGTAGAAGGATTTGATAGGGGTAGTGGATGAGAAGCTCAATGTGACCTGGCAATGTGCACTTGTAGCCCAGAAAGCCAACCACATCCTAGTCTTCATTAAAAGAGGTGTGACCAGCAGGTCAAGGAAGGTGATTTTTCCCCTCTGCTCTTGTGAGACGTCACCTGGAGTGCTGCATTCCTCTCTGTGCTGGAGAACCTCTCCTCTGAAGACAGGCTGAGAGCTGGGGTTGCTCATCCTGGAGAAGAGAAGACTCTGAGGACACCGCTGTGCACCTTCCAGCACCTAAAGGGGGCCTACAAGAAAACTAGAGACTTTTTTAAAGGGCATACAGTGACAGTATGAGGGGGAATGGATTCAAATTGAAAGAAGGTAGCTTTGGATTATATACAAGGAAAAAAATCTTTACTGTGATGGTGGTGAGACACTAGAACAGATTCCCCAGAGAAACTGTGGATACCCCGTCCCTGGAAGTGTTCAAGGCCGAGTTGGATGGGTCTTCATGCAACCTGGTGTAGTGAAAGGTGTCTCTGCCCATGGCAGGGGGTGGAACAAGATGATCTTTAAGGCCCCTGCCAACCCAAATAATTTTATGATTCTATGAAATAACTACCTTTCTGATTTTCCTTTCACTTTACATTGACATTTCCCATTTCCACTCCCTGGTTAGAATTTGTCTCTCCTCTTATGCAAGACTTACATGTAACATAGTCTATAAAAATTTTATAAAATGAAACAAAATTTGAAGATCAAAAGTCAACTGGCTTAATGGAATTATAGGAAATTATTCAAAGTTTTTGATTGTGTATTTCCTTATGAGACTTTAAAAGAAAAATAAATTATATATAACTAGGACAGAGGAGGAAGTAAGGAGCATAAATGCCCATTATTCTAAAACCAGGTTGAACAAGTACATGGAAACTGTCGAGGCAGATAGACAGCAAAGAGTGCATACAGTCTGTAATCATCTCATACATTCATCTAAATTCTGAAAGAAAAAAGTTTGAGATGTCAAAGTATAAATTTCAAATAAATGCTTCAAAACACTGGATTTTTAATATTCTTTTATTTTTTAAGAAATACTCTCTCCCAATCTATTTTTCCTATTTTCTTCTTAAAACACAGTGATACTCTTAAGATCTACATGTTGCAAGGGAGGTACAATCAACCATGTAGTGTGGATAAAGATCAGTTGTGAGAACTCATACAAGTTCTTATGAGTGAAATAAATCTGGTAGAGTATGAGTGGAAAGTAGTTCCCCCATGGGTCTTATTCTAACCTGCACAGTTGTGAATATTATTCTGTTTCAATTCTCTATCCTCTAAGTATTTAGATATAAAAAAATGACTCAGTAGAAATAACTGTTAACTAAACTAACAAGAACTCACAGAATACGTTAGCCTACTCTCAGCATTCAGAGCTCTGTGCTTACTACTTGTCAGAGTGATACCACAGAGGTCAAAAGATGCAGAGTTGCGTTAATAAATTATTACAAAGACAAGATAATATATTTGATACACGTGTTTCCATCAGGAGCTGATGAGTCTAAGTATTACACATTATTATTGAAGCATTAAAATATCACTGTATGACAAAAATACAACACAAAATATATTAAGGCGACTAGCACACTTTGTTGGAACAAAAACTATTTATAATATCCAGGATTAAAAAAAAAACAAAACCCAAAAAACCAAACAAACCCCCCAAAAAACAAAGACCAAGCCACAGCAGCAACAACAAAAAAGAAAACGAAAAATTTCCTTTTTAGAAATTTTTTTCTTTTCTTCTTTTTGTTTTGTTTTTCTGCATCAAATATGTGCTAATCAGCAGTCCTAGTGCTTTGGTCATTTTAGAAAACAGATGGTTGACAGACATTTAAGAGAAGAAAATTACAGAAGGAGAAAGCAGTGTATCTGAAGGTATTTTACATTTATACCTTCTAAGTACTGTCCATTTGTTTACTTTATAGGCTGTTGATTTCAGGATCTGTCTGAATTTTGCAGCTGAACTTTTTTTTAAAAATACTGCAATTATTTCTCCATTCAATTCTTTTAATCAGAAGCATTAAACAGATTGATCTGCAAAACACAAACATGGCAACTCAGAAATTACGCATGTATTCTCTATTAGCAGAGTGTCTAGCTTAGAGTTAGAAATCTTGTTTGGCAACCAAGGAGAGCACCTCAGTTCTACAGCTTTGTTTCGTATTTACAGCAATGTGCTGGAGAAGGATTTGGGATCAACTACTACATCTTAAATGAAATCATTTAACTTAATCACATAGCTGTAAAATTCTCATGTTTTGCATTCCCTCTTTTTTTTTTTTTATTTTACCTGGGCTCCAATATTTAATTAGCTATAAAAAGTGGACAGTTTTACCTGTATCCTGAAATCCTCACTGAGGAAGTAGGATTTACAGGTTCCTGCTCCAAAACATGAGATGGGATTTGGCAACCTACCTGCTACATGAAAATAGTAACTAAGTGGCTATTGGTAAAGTGTCTAGCCAGAGACAAAAATGTCTTGTTCCTGCCTGTCACTTCTGCTACACTTTTTTTGGTAGTCATTTTTAGAGGAGGCTTAAGACACTGGATCCAACCATTGAGATAGTCAGGAGAAAGCCTTGCTTTCTGAAAATCCCCCTGGGGTTAAGTGTGAGTTTGAGATTTGAGCATCTCGCAAAAGCAGGACATAAGCAGTTCTGACATGCCTGCTGGCAGAAACTACTTGGACTTAAAAATCACTGGAGCAACTACAGGGTAATAGCTCATAAGTAGGGGGTTTAAGAATCTTAAAAGCAGGTAAGTGCCACTGAAAGAGAATCGAAATTCAAAACCTATGTGTGTAAGGTAATTTTTTAAATGGGACTTAGGAGTTTTTGAAAATATCCTGATGAAACTAAATTTAAAAATACAACATAAATACTATTATATTTCTTTTGTCCTACAATATCATAAAAACTATTTTTAACAGATTACATGCTCAATTATATATTCCTTTACAGCAGCTTCATGGCAGGGAAACTCCATCTGAATAAAGCTAATGTAACAGAGTAGAAAATAAAACTCTCTGTCTAGTTTGCTCTCGTCTCTACTTCATGTTTCTAAAAAGTTAGAGAGATGCAGGAGTGGACCCAAAGATCAAAGGATATCAAATCTCCAAATTTTTGGGCCAAGACAGTCAGAATGCTCCTGTTTCACTAATTATCAATACTACAAGATCTAAGCAGTCTGTCTTGATGTAGCAAAGCCAACAACTTTGCACCTATCAGCAGTTAAACCATGATACTGCACATGGTTTTCAGCACAAGTATACTATTAAGGACATAAATAGACACTGTTTACTTTGTTAAAGCGGTGCCAGAGTTTTAACATCTTGAAGAGCATAACTTTTAAGACAAAAAGATTTACTAATCCTTATAAATATCCTCAAAATATGACCTTTCATAAATGCATGACTGTTTTCAACTATGTTGACAACAGTACCATGTCCCCCGAGGTTATTTCAGAGTCCTGACTGTGTGTAGAGCTTATTCCAGTATCAGAGTCTGTATCATTTATGTCCAGATTAGTCACTCTATGAACAAAGTCAGGAACAGCAGTGCTGTTACTGGAGATGCCACTGCCCTTGGATGGCTCTTCATTTGGCTGAAGCCTAGTTTCAACGTTGTCTTTAACATGCAGTAAATTAAATTCTTCGGTAAGAAGTTCATATTCTTTTTCCTTCTTTTGAAGCAGTGAGTCCCTGTATGTAAGTTCTTTCTGAATGCAGCTCAGGTATGAGTTGATTCTTAGACCATCTTTCATACTTTTTTCCAGCTCATATTTTACACTTTCTAAACTTGAGTTTTCCAATTCAGCATTAGCGGCTACTTCTGTGTGAACATCATCTACATTTTTTTCCGTGCATATACCTTGTACCTCTTTTTCAATTTCAGCACACAGGTTCTCTATTAATTGTTTGTGATGTTTCAATCTCTCTTCAACCTGTAAAATGCCCTCACTTTTGCTCAAATACTCATGCATTTCTTTTTGATCATCTGGCCTACTCCTTTGCTTCTCAGCCTCAGTTGGATTGATCATTAAGTAGGAGTCCTGCACATAATTTTCTCCGTCATTGGCCACACGATCTAGATGGAATTTCGCTTCACATTTTTCAATTTCCATATCTAGTTCCTTCATTCTAAGGACTTGTTGATGAATGGTATGATCTTGAGAAATTATCAAATGAATTAGTGTCTCCATATTGTCTCTCTCTTGCTGAACACTGTCCTGTTTAAGTTTGGCCAGTTTCCGGAAAGTCTTCCTCACAATTTTCTTTTGCTTGTCTATTGGCAACATCTTCATGTAATTTGCTGGACTGAGGTCCCACTGTTTTTCTACATTTTGTATTACCTTGGCTTCAGCTGTCTTCCACAGTGGAAAGGAGAGGAAGGCATCTGACTTTACCAACACAAAATGCAAATTAGACTGCTCTTCCCCCCAGGCCTTCCAAAGCCTCAGAATCTTTGTCAAGGGAGGCAGTACTCGCTCCGAGCCTCTCCATTTTTCTATGATGCAGTAATCACTAGGTTTTCCAAAAAGGACCTTTTTCTCTCCAAATGTTGTCTGATGTTCCTCCAGCAGTGCTTGAATCACTTCTGAGCAAGTTGTGCGCTTTGTCAAGCCACATACAATCTTCTCCTCCTGGCAAACCCAAACCACAATCTCTCTTTCATTTGAAGCCATGTCCTTGCTGGGAGACCTGGAGAACAAGAAGACATCAAGTACAAATTACATATCAATGGCATAGAATAATTACTATAATTCCAATATGACATCAGATTGAAAAATTTGTGTACTTTTGTACAAGATAATATACTTGTTTAAATTCCATGAAGAAATATCTTTGGATTATGTAACAACTTTAATCGGCCACTGCTTTAATATTACTACTAAGTCAGCTGGCAATCTCACACAGAATGGCAATCTCACACAAAATGTCTTTTATCAAATTTAGTTTTTGTTCACATAGTAAGTGTGTATTAACAATCAGTGATAAAGTTTGATAATCTGTATTACATATCCAGATTGTCCTAGGACAACACAACTTCCTCATCACATAGACACTGCACAAATATTTCTAAGCTCTTAATATCACCAAGGCTTCTGAAGAGAAGAATGCACTGAACATAGATGGACTGAGGAAAGTTGACTGAACACCACCAAAGTTAAAAGAATTTGACAGTAAGATAAATCTATAGTTCTTTTGCCACACACAGACCCACACAAGCATAAACACCATTGTTTTCCAGTGTTATTTTTCACTAACAAGCCTCAAGAAATTTGTTGCTTTTCCTGAAGCACCAAATAACATGAATTCCAGTGAACTGTGAAAGAATACCAACTGCAAGACAACACATATATGGGTCTGTATTTTATAACGTTTGAAATTCTACAAAAATGCAAGAAAAGCAAAAAAGTTTATTTATTTATTTGTTTGCTTATGAATTGCAATGAAAGTGCTATTTAATTGATATCTCCTTACACTAAGATACTTAAGGTGTCTGATATCCCTTTATGGCTACTGTAACTGTCTAATCAGTACAATCAGTAGTGCCTAGAGAGTAATTCAGCTGACCAAAGGTAGAAATTCACTTTACAGTTAACTCTTCAGTTCATCCCCATCTGAGTGGTCCTGAATTGCTATGGGCCTATGTTGGCAAAGTTGCCAGGATATTCATGTCCTCAAGACTCCACATGCATAATTTACTGCTTGTCCAAACCTGATAATTTGACCTCTTTTATCATAAAATGATAAAACACTAAATTCCCTGAGGAAAAATGCCTTTCTTTGGATTTTTTTGTATCTCTTGCAGTTAGTTTGAATGAATGAGATTTAACCCGGTCTGACAGAGAAAACTTGCAAATGAAAATAACTATTCAGACAATATTCAAAGTGCTCAATACAACATTTGCTTCTATCTGGCATTACTTATTCGGAGACCTTTTCTAGTCTTCTGAGATGTAGGAGGAATGGAGTTTTATTTGGCTTGATTATGGTTATACCCTATGATTATTAAAGCAATACAACTTGTTTCTTTTTCTTAATTATTACACAACATGACAGACACACTGCAGCCTAATAAATTGAACTATGACTGACTCAACTCTAGGTGCCACTCTGACCAGGAGGCAATAATCCTCAAAAGACAGGAGAATGCAAATGAATACTAATAAAACCGACAAGAGTGAGTTTATTAGTATCATCGCAGAGGAGAGGTCTGTCCAACTACGTTGCTTCAGGTCTTGGAACATCCTCTGTAAAATCTGTGTTTTGGTAGATTACTCTGAGTAATGACATAATTTTCCCACTTCTATAGCGCCCCCTTACAGACCAGCATTTTACAATAATTATTTTTTGAAGCTGGTGCTCAGAAGATTAATAATATTTTCATAGACTACTTCTCAAAATAAGAAAGTATTTGTCACAGACATAGAAAATGGCAAAGTGACGCAAAGAAAGAGTAATATCCAAGTTTAAATGGGGGAGAGGAAATGAAAGATGATACTAGATTAAATGGCATTACTGTTAAGCATGTCACATGCTAAAAAGTTAACATCTGTAAGTGCTTTTAGATTTGAAAAAAACAGGATGCTATAGAATTTTTTGTGTTGACAGATCAGGAGTTAAGTGAAACGAAGGTAAACAGCAAATTGCCACATGAGTCAACCGTGACTATACAATAACCAAGGGTTGTTTTTTTTTCACCACAGATATGAGAAGAAATACCCGATTAGGAACTCTGAGGCAGTAAATTCAGTGTTTGCTCTTCCTAGTTTCTTTTGTAATCAAGAAATATATTTCAAGGAATGAGTATTATCTCTTCTGGCATTCTTCCAAGAGTATCTTATGCAATTTGTTTTCACATTGAAACTCTTCCTATTAATTTTTTTTTTATTCTTGTTTTTGGTTGATTGCCATATTTTTTCCTGGTCAATATTTTCAGTATGTAACAGATTATGTGAATTAAGAAGCTTACAGTCTCTTCTTCTCCTGGTTCCTTTAAAGTTTTCTTATGAAAACGGTTTCTCTCTGTGATGTTAGTAAAACTGCAGATAAAATCTGAAAATCCCTAGACACCTCATCTTTATTGTACTGATAAATACTTCTGCTATACCCATTTTTATACAAAATTTCCACAGAGTTCAGCAGGAGTTAAGTAAAATTCTGATGGCAACACACTGTTTATTGTAAAGCAATCTCTACAGGATCCCTGAAACTATATGGGTGTAAAATAACATCTTTAAATTACTGTTTTCAGTCCTCTTTTAGATATTTATCACCCCCTGTTATTTTATTCAGTTATGATGCACCTGTCTACACAGAATTTACACTAAGATTTTTGGAAAGGATTGTTCTTTGTTTTGTCTTTAGTATATAACTAGTAGTAGCACTGCAAAATTGTAGCACATACAGGTACGCAAAGAACTCAAGTAGCTTAAACATGAAAATATATATTTATAAAATTATATTTATTTATATATTTATAAATATATAGGTATGTATGTAATGTATGTAATCTACACCTTTAATTATATTGTCATCTTTTATGGAGAAGGAGAGAAGAAATTAAAAAGAAATTCTGAACATCTCTGTAGTTCTTGGGTCAAAACAAAACTGCAAAGTACAAATCCTTTCATTTTCTTTTCTATGTGTTTGTTACAACGTATGTTATCTTAAATGCTATTGAAATCTCACTAAAATTTTGATCTTTCTTTTTAATCAAAAAGATTTAGCAAATAATTCATAATCTTACATTTCCATCACATTGTAATATCTTCTAAAATATCAAAAGTGGTTAATTGTTTTCTTCCACTAAAAAATGGTAAACTGATGCACTTTACTATGGATATTATAAGTAAAATTTATTGTATAATTCTTTTATCATAGTTAATTCAGATAGTTCCAAACAAAAACGAACCATTATTGTGTCAGTCAGAAAAGAACAATTATTAAAGTCTTGCTTTCAGGATGCAGGAAAATGTTAGTACAAGGACACACCTGTTAAGCTCTACTTTCCTTATAGAAAGTGAAGCACAGATTCTCCATATACAAAGAGGAATTCATCTCACTTAGACGTGAAAATTAAAATTTCAGTATAAATTCACCATCAGAAGTTCCTCTTTGTCAAGAGAAGAGAGTGGACCACCAAGGAGAAATCACCATTGCCTAGACCATCTATGATAATTGGAATGAATTCTCAAATGAAGCTATTTCTCTCTTTCCTTAACTATGAGAGAACTATGTGGCCACCTTCAATTAAATAGCTCATTTTCAGGTAGCTGAATTCAAGTGAGATAAATCCAATCAAATTATAGTTTATCGTCTGAGAGAAATGTAACAAGAACGGTAACAGCACCAGTAGATTTAGTAATGATAACTAAAAGATAACATATTACAACTTCTTAGCTTAGTTTAGACCTTGACTCTTCCATTCATTGTTGAATTTATTACTGTAATTTATGAAGAAATCCATTAATTCATTCCAATACTAAGGAAGATATCTTGAATAAATGTTGATAATTGACAGGGTTTTTTTCTGAAATGAAATATTATAAATTATAATCTTCAGCAACAGGATCTTCTTTTAAACAGTCATTTTAAGGGAGAGGCAAGCTTCTCATGTTTATAGGTTGCTTGCCTTCCATGGCCTGCAATTTTGTAAAGGACATAAAAGAACCACCATTTTTAATAGTGTATCAGTTAATGAGAGTGTAACAGTGAAAGCGTTTTTGCAGTTTAAATGGTTAGTTTTCCCAAAAAAACACAACAGCAACTTTCTCAAAAGTAGTTAAGCAACTAATTTTTTTTTTCAACAATGCATTGCTGCTTCTGTAAACAGGCTTTGAAGCTTTCAGTTATGGTTTGAATTCTGTTTCTTTGAAATGATCACTGAAATGTTCTACTTATCCATCTATGATTTTAAAGTCTTTATGATAACAACCACATGAAAGTCTATCTTTTTTTGCAAAGCCAATTGTTTCTTAGGAACAGATGGGAATTTAAACTTAAGAATGGTCAAAAGTACTTTTCCAATCTTTTTGTTTGCTTGGTTTGTCTGCTAGTTTCATGCCTGTTACTCCTTACTTCTCTTAAAGATGACACAAAAAAACATTCTAATCATGTTATAGACCTCACACAGTCTTAATTATGTCAGCATAAACTGATTGTTGCCTGTCACATATACACTTTGTTAATTTATTCTTCAGGCCTGGGGGAAGGTAATACATTCCAGCAACATATAGACAAAACAAAAACATGTATTTACATTGCACAAAGTCAAAATATTAGATAACTTAAATGCTGGAAGCAGTGCTTTTGATATTCACTGACTTAAAGGTATGTCTGGAACAAAAATATACATATCAAACACATAATTCTTTGCCTTCCTAAAAATGTTAACATTCTTCTTAAATATGTAATATATAGTTTTACAACCAATCATGCTAATCAAATAAAGAGTTCCCCTACTTTTTAGAATTTCATCTTCATGTCTACAGGATGCTTCTTTTCCTTTACTAATTTCTGCACTCTGTTGGGACTAGGTCACTTGCATGTTGTACTGTTAGCAACTCAATGCAATGTTTCTGAACGCTAAAAGAAAATCTTCTCTCCCTTCACTGTAATAAATTCTTCCTAGACTTTCACAAAACAAAATGAAACTCTTTTTTCAACATTACTGTATTTCTTGACGTACCCTC